CTCGAACTCATGGACCGTGAGATCGTGACCTGGCTGAAGTCGGACGCTTAACCGACTGCGCCACCCAGGCGCCCCCGATAATAGTTATTTTTAAAAGACACAGCAGTTGACTTTACTTCACTGTTTCACCTTCTGTCCTCATCCAGCCTATCATCAACACTGTGCCCTTGGGGATTTGTCTCCTTTTCTAAGCATGGACTCCAGAGCTTTAGATAAGTAACGTCCCTGCTCTGGGCTTCAGATTCTGCACATGTAAAAATGAGAGTGGTGATGCTTAGTGACTTGGAAATTCAATGCAGTAAGGATGCAAGAGTGAGGAGGGGAGAGGGTTCCTTGAACCTCAGAAGCAAATATTCCCCAAAGGGAGAACCAGCCACCCAGGTAACCTGTCCTTCCTGGTCTGAACCCTGAGAATGCGGAGAGAGGAGCTACCTCACCTCTGCCTTGGGGACCTTTCCAGGTTAAGGCAGAAAACGGGAGGATGCTCTGAACCTAGACATAAACACAAGGGCGGGCAGACATTGAACTTGGAGCAGTACAGTTGGCACCGTAGAGGCAGCGGCTGCTGCCTGGATAGAGTGGGAACGGCCTGGAATGTGAGGAGGAGCTCAGCCCAGCCTGCCAGAGTCCTTGAGTCTTGACACGTTATTGAAGGCAAGAGAGAGAGGGAGAAAGTTACAGTCAAAACAAAGGACTCCCTGGAACAATTTGTAGTTTTTGTATAAGCAGTTGGCTGTAATCTAAGTAATACGTAGCAACCACAGTGTCAAATAGATGTGTCAGGTATCGAGTGCCGATTATGGTCGAGGCAGAGGACTTCAGGAAAGACACGATCTCTCTCTCTCTTTATGGAGCCAACGCTCTCGTGATAGGATCTCATTTCACCTTTGCCGCCCTTTGTGCATGTTATTAATATCCCAATTTTAGAAATGAAGAAGCGAGGCTCAAAAGAGATCGGCAAATGGCAGAACTGTCACTGAAACCCAGGTGTCCCGCCTTTGGATCCCAACCTCAGGCCCACTCTGTCTACAAGCCTCCTGATAAACCACTGTGACATCTGTGCCTGCCCACTTCCTGCTGACCCTCTCTCTCAGGAGCAAAGCTGGGAGTAGAAACACCTTTTGCTCAGTCCCTCTCCTCTGAAAATCTAGGCGTGAAGGTCCAGTGGCCGTCACACACGAGGGCGATGAAGCATTCTTGTTTTATTTTCCAGTCTCCACCCAGACGCAACATGAGACTGAGTTGCGTCTTTACAGGAAGATGTGTCTTCACGGTTCAGATGAGTGCTTTCACCATCCACGATTGCTCTGTGGCAGATGGCTCGGAAGGGGCATTGTGTTACCCCTCCTTTGCTGGTCTTTTCCTCTACTGACTTTTACTCAACCGGTCTCCCAGAGGGTTCTGTCAACAATACTTAACCGAGAAATTCCTTTGCCCGGGATACTGGGCTGGACCCAGGAAGGAATTTAGAGATGAATAAGAGGCACTCTCGCCTGCCAGAAGCTCACAGTCTAGTTAAAAAAAGAAAAAAAAAAAAAATTGGTGAAATGAGTCACCTGAGAGGTCTGCAGTCTGTGGGAATTCAGAGGAGAGAAAGACTGAGGAGAATTGAGCAAGGTTTTATAGCAGAGGCGGAATTTGAGGTAGGAATGATGGCCGGTTAGTAGTTCCTCAGGCAAGTGGGGGGGAGGGAACATGCTAGCTGAGGAAATGCCAGCATGAGCCAGGCAGGGAGTGTGGAAAACCGTTGAGGCAGAATAGTGAGAAATGCAGGTGAGCTGGAGTACAGGGCTGGGTGGCAGAAAAGACGGGAGAGGAAATTTAGGGCCACGCTAAGGAAAAGCCTACTTTTTTTTTTTTTAATTTTTTTTTTTGTAATGTTTATTTATTTTTGAGACAGAGAGCATGAACGGGGGAGGGTCAGAGAGAGACGGAGACACAGAATCTGAAACAGGCTCCAGGCTCTGGGCTGTCAGCACAGAGCCCGATGCGGGGCTCGAACTCACGGACTGCGAGATCATGACCTGAGCCGAAGTCGGTCGCCCAACTGACTGAGCCACCCAGGTGCCCCAGGAAAACCTACTTTAACGTATATCCCGAAAATGAGGATTTCTCACAGAAACTGCAATATTGTTATCACACCTAAGAAAAAAATTTTAACAAAAATCTGTCATCTCTAATAGCCAGGCCCTATTCAAATGACCCCAATTGAGAGGGTTAATGAAAATATCATAAATGATTAGGGGGAAGGGTCCTGGTAGGGACCTATAGCCACGAAACATCTGCAGTGAATTTTTTTGTAATCGCTTTTTCTCTTGTTCCTCTTCTTTCTCTCTAAACACAGAATTCTTAGTGTAGAACTTTAGACAACTGGCATTGGGTGCACTGTCATTAGGAAGTGAACCAAAGGTAGAATGTATTAATTCTTTCAGATGTTTGTTCAGCACTCTACATTCTCTTCCGTCAGAGAACTTTCGTTGCGGGAGAACATCTACAACACGGCGTAAGTGCCTGGATACGCAGCCCTGTTGCTTATGGCAACAAAGGACTTTGGGCCCAGGGCACTGGTTATGCTCTGAGGGCGATCACACTCGTCTTTCAGTTTCACAGTTGAAGGTGGGAGTGTTCAGTTCACATGCTCACACCCCTTCTAAGCCTTTTTGCCTTGAGCCTTTGGGGGGTTGGGGATATTGGGCATGCCACATTTACTCTAGCCGGGGTTTACTCAGCCCCTTCCACCTAAGAACACCCCCCAGCCCCTCCGGGCAAAGGAAGGGAGGAGTAACAGGAAGGAAGTGAGAGCTGCAATTACCACTTAGACAAGGTGGTTTTGCAACTTTCTGTTGTCTGGGGTGGGGGTGGGGGGTGGGGGTGCAGGGAAGATGGCAGACCGGGTGTACCCAGGGTCAGGTGTTCAATGAGCTGGAGTCAGAGACACAAACATATGGCTGAACTGAGAAGGAAATACGCACTCATAGGGAAGGGAGTGCAATTGGACATAATGCTAATGGATTTGTATTGAGCACTCACCAAAGGGCAGCACTGAGAATGTATGTCATTTAATTCTCCGGACAACTCCAGGAGATGCTGTTGTGTAAACAGAGGCTCAAGAGACGGATAGGCTTATTTGCCTAAAGGCTTAGAGCCATAAATCGAAAGGCCAAGATGGGGCATATATCTGTCAGACTCCAGAGCCCTTGATCGTAACCACTACAGAGAGAGCTCCAGAAGTTGGAGATGCTAACCACTGGGTTAAGAATGGGGACACATGTGGGAGTGCAAGCTGGTGCAGCCACTCTGGAAAACAGTATGGAGGTTCCTCAAAAAACTGAAAACAGAACTACCCTACGACCCAGCAATTGCACCACTAGGCATTTATCCAAGGGATACAGGTGTGCTGTTTCTTTTTTTTTTTTTAATTTTTTTAACGTTTATTTATTGTTGAGAGACAGAGAGACACAGAGCGTGAGCAGTGGAGGGGGCAGAGAGGAGAACACAGAGATCTGAAGCAATCCGGTTCTGAGCTGCCAGCACACAACCCGACATGAGAATGTTTCGAACCCGCGACACGCTTGAGATCATGACCCTGAGCTGAAGTGCCGATTACATTCAACCAACTGAAATACAGGTGCCCCAGGTGTGCTTTGAAAGGTGCGCGTGCACTAATGTCTTGCAGCACTATAAAACAATAACCAAAAGTATGGAAGGAAAGAGCCCAAATGCCCATCGATGGATGAATGGATAAAGATGTGGTATATATATACAATGGAGTATTACTACGGCAATCAAAAAGAATGAAATCTTGCCCATTGCAGCTTCGATGGATGGAACTGGAGGGTATTCTGCTTTGAGTGAAAGAGTAGAGAAAGACAAAAATCATATGACTTCACTCATATGAGAATTCAAGAACAAACAAGATGAACATAAGGGAAGGAAACAAAAATAATATAAAAACAGGGAGGAACAAAAACAGAAGAGACCCATAAATATGGAGAACAAACTGAGAGATTTGGAGGGGTTGTGGGAGAGACTAAATGGGTCGGGGCACGCACCTAAGGGAGAATCTACTCCTAAATCATTGTTGCACTGTATGCTAACTAATTTGGATGTAGAATTTTAAAAAATAAAAAATAAAAGTAAAAAAAAAAAAAAAAAAGAATGGGGACACGCGGGGTGGGGGAAGCCTGGGTAGCTCCAGTAGGTTAAGCGGCCAACTTCTGCTCAGTCCGTGATCTCCACTTGACTCAAAAGGCTCATGAGTTCGAGGCAGCGTGGGGCTCTGTGCGGCAGCCAGAGCCTGGAGCCTGCTTCCAATTCTGTGTTTCCCTCTCTCTCTGCCCTCCCCTGCTCACACTCTGTCTGTCTCTCTCTCTCTCTCACAAAAATAAATAAACACGTAAAAAAAAAAAAAAAATGGGGACATATGGTCAGGGCACCGGGGGAGGTGGCTCAGTCAGTTGAGCCTCCAACTTTTGATTTTGGCTCAGGTCATGATCCCGGGGCAGTGGGATGGGCCGCGCACTCAGCACAGGCAACTTTTAAGATTCTCTCTCTGTCCCCTCTGCCCCTCTCCCCAGCTTGCGTGTGCTCTCTCTCTCTCTAAAAAACAAAAATGAAAGAATATGAGGGACATGTGGGCCCAAGTATCTATGTAGAGCCTTCCTCACTCCCAAGACCTGGGCACTCTTACGTGATTTAAAGCCCTTCATGACCTTGAGACTCCGGGTTCCTTTCAACCACTTACCCTACCCCCACTTATATACACCTAGCCAGCAGCCGTGCTGAGTCATCTCTCACAAAAGCGGTGTGAATGTGGGTATTATCCTCTCTGTGACTTTGTCCTCTTTCCACCCTCCCCCCTTATACTCTATTCCAGTCCTATAGCACTTGAAATCTTAATTCAAGTCCCAGCCCATTGGTCAGTCCCTCCCGTTGTCAGTCCCCTCTCCCACAGTTAAGTATTAAGTATCTCTTTGCTGGGTACTGAGAAATCTAGATAGTAAGGCAAGTACAGTTCTCAAAGGAGCCTACAGTTTTAGAAGGAGACATAGCTAGATAAACCTAAATCATAAAATGGTAATAGAGGGGCGCCTGGGTGGCTCAGTCGGTTAAGTGTCCGACTTCGGCTCAGGTCATGATCTCGCGGCTCGTGGGTTCGAGCCCCGCGTCAAAACTCTGTGCTAGCTCCGAAACCTGGACCTGCTTCCCAGTTACTTGTCTCCCCTCTCTCTCTGCCTCCCTGCTCATGCTGTCTCTTTCTGCCTCAAAAATAAATAAAAACATTTAAAAATTAAAAAAAAAACAGTAATAGAAATGTCTACAAGGTGTAGAAGTTGCAAACACTTAGAAAGGGAGTGATTAACTCGATTAATGGGATAAAGCGGTTAAGTGTCATAAAGGATATAGAGTATGAATTTTTTTTTTAATTTTTTTTAAAGTGTGTGTATGCATGTAAATAATTTCTAGGGGCGCCTGGGTAGCTCAGTCGGTTAAGCATCTGACTTCAGCTCAGGTCATGATCTCGCAGTTCATGGGTTTGAGCCCCTCATTGGGCTCCATGCTAACAGCTCAGAGCCTGAAGCCTGCTTCCAATGCTGTGTCTCCCTCTCTCTTTCTACCTCTCCCCCACTCATGCTCTGTCTCTCTCTGTATCCCCAAAATAAATAAATGTTCAAAAAATTTTTTTAAATAATTTTTATAGCCAACGTGGGGCACAGACTCACAACCCCAAGATCAAGAGTAACTGAGACACGTATTGGGCATTTCATGCAAATTTGTTGAGCAGGCAAGTGGAGAATCATTAGAAGGTTTTAAGCAGATGCAGGAGAGCAACAGCAAGGGCCCGGAACACAGTTATGACCGCGAGACTAGAAAGCATGGGACGGTTTCCAGAGATGGACATATTGAGGGATTTGATGAAGGAGGTGAGGGAGAAGTAGTTGAGGGCAACTTCTGAGATTCTAACTTCGGCCCGGGGGCAGCGTGATGACAGTGCCTCCTCCCAACATGGGGGCTACAGGTGGAAGATGCAGGGCTTTCTTGCTTGTGTACAAGTGAGTGTCCCCTGTGTGAAGAGGCGCCGTATCTTTTTCATTTTCCTGTCCTTTATATTAGTGCTGAGACCAATATGGTGGTTGGCTCCCAGGAGAGAGGAGATAGCATTCATTTCGAGCTGGGTTCTAAATGCGTTGTGTTGGTCTTCTTCAGCGTTTTCCACAAGGGCTCTCCTAAGAGAACAGTCTCCTGCCTGCCTCTAACCTCATCTATCTAGAGGAATCTGGGGCTGTGGCTGGAAGACCATCTCTCAAGTGAAAAGTACCTTCAAGGCTCATATTTTATCGTTAGGGCTGCATATTTTACATTCTTATTAATCCTTGTTTTAATATAAAACTTTACCCCAGCTCACCCCCGGAACCCCACTATAAATAATATTGTAATTCCAGGCATGTATGCCATATTTATTCTGGGCTTTGTATATACACCCTTGCACACTGCCAGATACCCTCAGGCATACCCCAATTTGAGAAGAACCACCAAATACGATTTTTTTTTCCAACAGTGCACTCTATATTTTTTAAATTCCATTGGGCTGATACGAGTACAGCCCTGTAATTGCATCCGAGACTCTGAGAAGCTAGGGTCATAGGAGGCCAACAGATGAGAGGGACTTGACTCCACCTCACTGACCTTTCCAACTTATATTCCCAGGTTCTGCAGAAGTTGGGGAAGACTGTGGAAACCAAAGATGAACGGTTTGAACAAAGTGCCAACAACTTCCACCAGCAACAGGTAATCTGGAGGGTGGGGAAGGGGAGCTTGGAGGAAGAAGGGAGACCTGAGGGCCGGGTAGCAGAAGAACAGTAGGTTTGGGCAAGCCAACAGGCATCCCTCCTACCCCACCCTCCCCCCGGGGTTGGGGGGCAAGGGCCACGGAGTAACCTGCTGCTTCTTGTTTCTCTGGGAACCAGAGACGCTTCCCTTTCTTGTTCCCAGCGACCCTGGGTTTTGGGAGACAGACAAGTGTTCTTTCCTCTTAGTGGTTCCCCCGGGGTACAGTGGCATCCCTAGGTCCTTGGACAAAGTTGGAACGAGCCCCTGCCACTTTAGTCTTTGGCTGATCCCTTCCTCAGGGTGCCTCTCTCCCACCCTACTAGGCTCTCCCATCGTAGTAGCCCCTGATTTTCCTTGTTGCCCCTTTGGCCACTACATCTACCTGGCCGAAGCCCAGAATTCTAAATGATCCGTCCATCTTTCACCTGTCATTCTCACCAGCAAACCTCCTATTGTCTCGGTTCCTTCTACCCTCACTGGCTGCTATGGGTAATTCTCTTACAGAAAATTTACATTGAGAAGTGGGCAATAGGTGTAGGCTTCCATGGGATATTTCACTTTTTTTTTTTTTAAGTTTATTTATTTTGAGAGAGAGTAAGCACGAATGGGGTGGGGGCAGAAGAGAGGGAGAGAGAGAGGGGAATCTCAAGCAGGATCCGCCCTGTCTGTGCAGAGCCTGATGCGGGGCTCAAACTCACCAACCATGAGATCTTGACGTGATCCAAAGTCAGACACTCAACCGACTGAGCCCCACCCCCCCGCCACCCAGGTGCCCCAAGATATTTCACTTTCCATCTCCATGTGCCAGGCATTGTGCATGGTGCTTTACACACGTGATCTCACTTAATTCTTACATGAGCCCTGGAGATTGCAGTCCCCTCTTTGTAATAGAAGGGGGTTATTGACTCACGTGAATACCCGGTTGTAATGTGGTCCTAACACTTAACTGCTCAGAGTTCGGCCACATTTCACAGGTTAAGGGCACTGTCCCCAACAAAACTGCTTCACTTCGGACACCAGCTGCAGGCTCCAGAGCTCCCAGGACACCCACACTGCTG